CAAATTTTATTTTTCTGAAACACAGTATCACATATATGCTCTCTATCTTAAAATTAACGTGCCCTTCCCACATTTTATTTCACACCATTTTTGTTCTATTTCTTCAATTAAGATTTATCCACTTGACACAGAATCCCAAGAAACAAGCTCTTCCTTTATGAAGTTTGTCATGGAAGCTGGTCTATCCGCTCATCGCCAACAGACAGAATACACACTTCCTGGATCATACAGGGAGCGCAGGCAGTTGAGAAAACAGGAAAACTGTAGCTGTTTGGAAGCGTCAGAAGAACCTCTTTTTTCTTTTTTTTTTTTTCCTTCATATTTTAAGTTGCATCCAGTATTTTATGTCCTTTTGAAAATCCTCCCTTGCTCATTAGCAACCCACATAAATTCACTGTAGCAAAGCAATTTTATCACCTCTGTTTTCTACAGCTGCTGGGAGCCACTGTGCTATTAATGCTTTCTGTGCTGAGAACAGAATAGATCAAGGAAAGGAACAATCATTGTGTTTTTCCCCAAAGAAATTTCCACTGTATTAAATTTCCTTAAATAGCCTTTTTTTTTTTTTTTTTTTAATAGCAGGTACAAGAAAGCCTTTGGGAAGAGGCATTAAGTTGCTCAGCCCACTAATTCTCATGACTTCAGGCACCATTTTATCACTCTGTCCTACCATCAAGAATTTCAACAGTTCGAGGATAAATTACACACCATTTCAGAATGCTGTTGTTGCTACCTCATCATGTGGATGACGCAGCTTTTGGGTGCTCTGCAGTTTAGCCCCCTGGTACATGAAAAGTTTTGCTTCTAGGATGTGGCCGGTTATTCTCCCCTAGGTGCTCATGCACACACAGGATGTATTTTGAGTACAAAGATCAAGTGGAAGATTCTCATCCATCACCTTCCCTTATCACCTTAGCCTTTAAACCCCAGACAAGTGGATGCTCTAGGAGACTGCTACAGCTGGAGACTTCAAGTTTCTAAAACTTGAAGGATCCAACAGATCCTGTTCAGTGCAACCCTCCTTACGCTCTCTTCCCCAGTCAGTCCTTAGTGCGAACAGGTCACTACAGTGAAGAGTAACTCACCTTTGTGAGACAGGATCATGCTTTGTCTGCTGGTCCTGGATTAGTAGAAACTTACAGAGGCCTTATCTTAGGGCAACCTAAGAAGATATGATGAAATCTGTAAAACTCTACGGTCTTTGGAGACTGAAAAATAGTTTGGAAGAGAGGGTCAGGAGCATTGTCATTAGTATTATTATTATCTTTAATTAGCCTGCGATTTGGAGATAACTAGCTTTAATCCATGCTAGCATAGAAAACAGAATCAACAACTACTTCTTCTATTTCCTGATTATATCGGTAGCTTCACACAAAGGTCCTCAAGGACATGAGTTAGATGGAAGGTAACCAAGTGTTTAAGTTGAGCATAACCAAGCAATCACTAGGGAATTCAAGAACACTGAATGGCCCAGAGATGGCAGAAGTTCACAGGAAAGAAAGGAAAGCAAGGAAGAGAAGATAAAAAGATGGAACCAGGTAGGGAAGGGGCTCTCTCTTAGGGCTTCTGTGACAGAATGAACCTGGAGATAAAGCAAGCAAATGAGGAAGAACTTTTCTACTATGAGGGTGACAGAGCCCTGGAACAGGCTGCCCAGAGAGGCTGTGGAGTCTCCTTCTCTGGAGATCTTCCAAACCCGCCTGGATGCCACCCTGTGCCACGTGCTCTGGGTGTCCCTGCTGGAGCAGGGGGGTTGGACTGGATGATCTCTAGAGGTCCCTTCCAACCTCAGCCATTCTGGGATTCTGTGAAATATGGAGATAGTCTAGACAAAACTGTGACAGCCTCCAGTGACGCAGTGCAGTGCAATTTCCCAAGTAATTTTAGAACAGACATAATATCATACCTTGAATATTAGATTTTTTCTAAAACCATCCAACCAAAATCTTATTTTTAAGTACGCAAATCTGTGTTTGCCCTTCCACCCATATCAGTGCTGCTTGATGTAATTGGGAGAATTGAACATTTTTATGATTTCAACTGCTTTTTCTCCTCTTTTTTCAAAAATCCTATGCAGGCCTCTTCGTGCCTTAGCATAAAGTAGGATAATCTGGCTGAGAGTAGGATCTGAACATTTTTTTCTCCATGTGTTTTCAAGTCTTCTAGGGTCAGAATAATCGCCACATGACTATAGACCTGATTTTCTTCCTTCTCTTCCAATAGTTGATCAAAATCTTTCTGCCCATAGTCATTCATTTTTAACTACAAAGTATAAATGTTTATTATTTTATACTTTCTAGACCAGAGCATTTGGGTCAAAGGACATACCTTTTCTCATTTAATATCAAAAGGCTAGTCAGTATGTATGAAAGCAGCAGCCATGAGTTCAGAAATAAACAAACTAATAAAAAGGCCCCAGCAAATTAAGAGAAATCTGCCACCTAGTGGACTTCTTTTAAATATAGTTTTAAATTAGAAGATACCTCTTAAAAGCTTAGAATGTTCAGTTTTAACATGCTCTTCTGGGTATTTTTTTAAGCTTTCCTTAGTCAGTTCAGAAACAAAGACTATGACAGAGCCCACTTAAATCCATTAACACATGCAATAAATCACACCTGGTAAATCATACCACTGTTCTAGCACTAACAAAATTGCTTACTTTAAATCCTGGAAGTGTAAGAGAAGCACACACAAACATTAAGTCTCTTCCATCAAAGAGGAGATGATCCAAAGTCAAGATTCAAGTAAACTCAGCAACAACTAATAAAAAAAGTAAATTGAAAATCAGGGTAAAAAATGCCCAGAAATAACAGACACAGAATAATAGACACAGGACAGAAGCCAAGCAGTGACACCACTCTGTGAAGAGATCAGAAAATATTCCACAGAAAATTGGGTGAATGAATAGCTGAAATACTCCTAAATAATATCCTCCTTTTTCTGACTAGGCATCAATTAAAATAGGCATTTCCCACAGATCCGGTGAGAAAGTCTTGGTAGCATCACAGGAGATGCACAGCAAAAGAAAGGATTCATTCTCCCAAGGCTTTGTGGAAGGAGGGCATAAAATAAAGCCAAAGATATTCAGCAGCTGAGTCTGGCTTCCTCACAGAAAGCCAAGCACCAAGGATGTCCGTGACCAGAATCAGCCAGTGCTCCTAGCGCCAGATTTTCCATCCTGCTTGTGTGCCCGTGGAAGAGCAAACGAGTACTGAAGACTGGCTGAGAACCAGCTCGCAGCCAAGAGCAACCTCCAAGACACACAAAGGCCTCTGCACAGTCTGTGCAAGGGCAATTCCTAAGCTGGAAACTTAGGTAAACCAGCAGCACAGAGCTTTAACTAGCACGGAGTTCCTTCAATAAAACCAACAGTCACAAGCGAGGGGTTTCCTAGGAATTAGTGTTTCATGAGAAGAAGGATTTTTTTTCCCTGCTATCCAGATGACATTACCTAAGGCAGGTTTATTAAGAGCAGTCATTTCACTGAAGCTAAGGTGATCAGTGTATAGAAGGGAAAAAAAATAATACAAAGCAACCACTTCTTACATTTTTAAAAGTACATGGTGCAAAAATTGTGTGTACTCAAAAGTAATGAATTGGTATAATTACTACTGTTAATAGTGGTCTACCTTTCACCTAAAGCATCCCTACATCAAGTGAATAGCAGAGGATTAAAGACTGTGTTCTCTAAAACAAAACCTTCCCTCAGTCATCAAAAAGGAACACGCTACAGGGCAGCAGAAAATTTACCAGTATTGCACATTAAAAAAAATTCATTTTACTGAAAAAAAACCTAAATTGGGAGGACCTCCTGAGATCATCAGATCACATGAGAATCGCAACGTTCATTTTCAGAGAAAGTAATTATTGCTACAGAACTGTAAAAAACAGTTTCAAAATCCGAGCCTCAATCTCACAGTTGGCAGCAAGATATTCCACTTACATAGCAGAAACATTTCCTATGTTTTGTACGTTCCCAACTACATTTCAGCAGAAACACATGCACAACAGTGAGATGCCAATTAGCAAGTCTTTTATTTATTCAAATAAATAAAGACTAAAAGAGCTATAATTTTTTTTTTTTTTTAATGCATTTACACTAATACCAGAATTACAGAGGAACTTCAGTGGGGAACACCCATCTCATGTAAACAAACTGCACATTTGCTTTTCTAAACAAAAACCCTTTTCTGTATCATGACCAGTAGGTTATGATACAGAAAATTTTCTGCACGAAATTAGAAGCACCCTGATAAAAGGTTTGAAGAAGGTTAGAAGCAGGAAAATGGTCAAGCCATGAATCTCTGAAATATGTCAATAACCCAATAGTTAAAACTAATATATTACCCACTGAGTTCCCGATCCTGCTTAAACTGCCAAGAGTTTACCAAGAAATCAGCAGGCATTTGATCATTTTACATCAAAAGTATTTGTGTTTTATAGTCTGCAATAGCCCATTTCAATAAATTATTCTTGTATCTTCTTTACATCAGCATTTACATTATAATGGTCAAAATTGTTCCCAGAGAGTTCTTAAGAACCATTAAGCAAATAAAATGAAGCCACTTTTTTTTTTTTTTTTTTAAAAAAAAGGGAATTAAAAAAAAGGGTGGGGGGAGGCCAACATGAACTCAAAGCAACCTTCGGGTAATAAAAAGAATCAAGTTGCACCACTTCACACTACCCTGTGGCCTCTGCAAAGACGCAAAACTAATGGAAACTAAACGACCAGCAATTACTCATAATGGAAAAAATCTCTTTTCACAAGATGAAATACATTTTATATATCTTCAAATCTGTTTTACATAGCATGAATTTTACACTGTACATGATTTTCGATGTTACAACATACACACAGAAAGCTGCAATACTAGCAATACACATAAATACCTGTACATCATTTACATATTAAAATATTTTACACTGCTCCAGAGTGTGTCATTTAGCTAGGCACATTTCAAAACACAGTGTAAAACCCTTACAAAAAAAGAGTGCAAGTAAATGTTGCTTTCAGTTCCTTCGCAGTTCAATCGATTCAGGTGCTAACTTTGCTCCATGCCAGCCATCAGTGATAAAGCTAAAGATTCCACTGTGAATCAAATCATAATAAAAAGACAAACTGTTAGTATTTACATTTATATCAAAAATAAGATGGAGGGCTGCAATGAATACTTTAAAAGATACACTTTTATAATTTAAATTGTAAAGATCTAAGGCTTTAGGACTGTCAGGTGTTTTCCAAACTTTTGGTATTTCTGACAATACTTTGTTTCCCTCACCACCTGAAATAACTAAGTTATAACTGAGAAGCTGCTTTGTGTGAAATACAAAGTAGTAAATGGAAAAAAAAAATCTCGTAAATGGAAAAAAAAGGATTTTTTTTTAATATGGTAAGCCATAATTACAGATGATTCTTTCAGAGTGAATAATGAGGATTTGAAATGATGCCCCTTCCAGACTGGGGAATTATTAATTGCTCTTGTAGGTTCCTGCTCTCAAAGCAGGAACAGCTGAACATGCACATAAGCCCCAGCAAGCCCCATGCCGAGGTGGGCACCGTAGCTCACAGTGCCACTGGTCAGTAACTTCAGCTAGTACATGAGGCTGCAAGTAGAGAACATGAACATGTCCTCCTCCTCTGAGGCACTTAGTGCCAGCAGAAGGGCAGAGCCAAGAGCTCTGGATAGGTTCAGCTATGACATAATATTTACTGTGACTAAATTCTAGATGTTTGTGATATATCACAGCTGTCAGCCAGCAACACCAGTAACAATTCTCTATGTCCTGCAGGAGTAGGGGGCTCTATAAAAAGAAAATACTGCTACAAGCTAATAAATTTCTAGACAGAATTTAGTTTCATTTGTTTGTTCAGAAAACTACTCGTCGTTTTCTTGGCTACATTAGCCATCCTCTCCTCAAGCAAGCAGGTAAACTGTAGACAGCATGGCACAAATTGCTTAAAAGCAATGGAGTTAACTGACTAAGAAGCCAGTAAAGCTTCACCTTTGTGAATACCTTCATTTAGTACTTTATAAAATGAGACTTTTTAAAGATGCACTGACAAACATTAGAATGAATTCACATAAACACATTCCTATGACACTTGTGTTCCAGTAAGTGTAGGCACATGAAAATTAATCCTGACATACTTACAATGAGGAAAAGAGCCTCGACAGACAGCTTTGTTCAGAATAGTTACGAGAAACATGTGACAGTTCTTAAAATCAGATTCCATCTTCTCTATGGATTCCATCCTAAGAAACAGTTGAATAGAAATATACTTAACACACTCGTAACTATGTCATCCTCAAAGCAAGACTAAAAGCTTTTAATGACAAAATGCTCCCTGTACATCTTAAATTCACGCCAGAATTCTACTTCATTTATGTCTGTGTACACCATTTCTACAAAATTACAGCAATTTTGACGAGAATGCCTGATTATTGCAATACTACCAATATGATTTTCTCAGCGTCCTGACTTGGCTGTGGGCAGAACAAACTCTGTGGCTCTAAGTGACAGGCACTGTGCTACGTGCTCTAGGTGCCACTGCTTGAGCAGGAAGGCTGGACTAGATGATCTCTAGGGGTCCCTTCCAACCTCAACCATTCTGTGATTCACATATGTTTTTGTCTTAAGACAGCCTTTCCTAGTGCCTAATGCTTCAGAGCTCCTTAGGGGTAAATTTGCGCTGATAAGAAAGACTAGGTCAAGAAGCAGACTCCTGATCACTACACTGCTTAGTTATTCACTGACTCCTGAGCTCCACTTTGGACTTTGCCAACTTGCTTGCACCAGAGAAGGAAGCCTGGACAGTTCACACCAACCACTCCTGCCCGTTTTCTCCTCTCCCAAAAGGCAATACCAAGGAGACAACATCAGGTGTAGCTCTTGACTCAGGCTGTCCTCCCACATCTGAGAACAGACAAGCTCAGATGCAATCACAGGCTGTAAAACGACGGCTATGACAGTTCACAGCACAGCCTCCATAAATACTTCAGACATTTTAGAACCAGAAAAGCACCCCAAAATAATTTCCTTGTGTAACAAAAGACAGGGCATGCAGTAGAAACATGCCCAGTCTGTGCCAAAAGGAACTACTTTCAAAAAGTAGTGAGCGAGTCCATGCCATGTGGCCTCAGGGTCTGTCCTTGACTCTTAGATGCAGCCTTGGAGATCTGCTCACCATTTGAGCTGCAGGTGTTACAAGCAAAAAGCAAACAGATCTTTTTAGCCCAGGCTACAGAACAGCCTGATGACAACTGATTTACACCCGTAATTTCTCAGATAATTTTAATGTACTGGTCTGTGAGTCTTCAATCACAGTCCTTAAGCAAGTACATATTTTTAAAAAACACCAACTATCACAGTTGCCTCTACAGAATAGGTATTATGGGAAAAGCCAAAAATGTTCCAATTTTACCAAAAACAAAATCCTAGCATTTAAGCAAAGGTAATCAATCATTCTCCACAAAAATCTTTACCCCACAAATTCAATTCCATTTTTCATAAACCAATTACTGAACGCCAGCTTCTACCGGCCTACAGTTTCATAGCATAGCCAGGAAACACAATTATAAACCCCAACTGACTTTTGTATTTTACCACAACTAACAAATAGGATGGCAAAGAAAACACTCTCTCTGTTGCCGAGATCTAGAATCTTTTCAGAAACTTTTAAAGTCACATATTGGCTACTCTTTTCCACTAGAAAATCCTTACTATACTATGACACAAGTCTATGCAATTTGTTAAGTTCTACCTAAAGTAATTTTCTTTTTAGTTAAGAAAACTATATAGCCTACAGAATCTGCCACTAAGCATTAATTGAATGAATTACTGACATTCAAGGTCCTGTTGCTTCATACAGAGAAACATATTCATAGCTCTCAGCTTCAAGGTTATGACAATACAGACCTTCAGGTTTAGATACTCACTTCCAAGCCCCCAGGCCAGCCTGCCAGCGATCTGCAAACATCAATACTAAATTTAACACCTTCATTATAGCTTCTTTCACAAAGCTCACCTAAAATAATTAAAATAAAAGGAGTAGTAGTCACTAATTCCTTGTTAATCATAATCATTTTCATTATCAAACTGCAAGGCAATAATACACTAATGTCATTAAATCTCATCCATCAAAACAATTTAAGTACAGCATGATTCAAAATATATTTTGCTACTTCACTCACTCTCTGATTAATTTGATGGCTATTTTGAGGAAGACCATCATAGAGATTATTTGGGGTAAAAAGCTACAGTGATATCCAGCTACCTAAGGTGCCAACATAGCAGAGCTATTGCAGGTAATGCATAATCATTATATTATCAAATATTGCTTTGTTCCAATTTCCACATCTCTTAAAAGCAAATAAATCACATAAAACCTTACATAAATAATTTCAAATTTACCCTCTTTTTCACAGAGCTGAGGTAAGACTTGCAATGCAAAGTAAATCTCAACGGTAACTCTGGAAAAGTTACTGTTTCCTCAAGAATACCTATGTATTGCTATGCAGGAACTGCAAAACATGTAATCAGTACTAAAATAGTTTATATCCTTTTAATTCACCTTTTCTCTCAACAGGCAGCGATCATGGATTGTAGACAGATATCTGTAATGAATTTTTATCAACTGATCTAAATCTTTGGCTTCTTCTACCTGATGCTGAAACTCCAAGCCTGTACTGTGAAGAATCTTAAACAAAGAAAATACAATAGTTATTAATTTTTATTTTTTACACCAGGCTTACAGCTCTCTCTCAAGACACTTTCTGGAGCTTAAAAATGTTCAATTAATTCACTCTTCCCTTTCCAATGTACATATTTAAGCTCAGCCTCCCAGCTACCATCATTACAGCATAGCTTTGAACTCTTGATAATCAATTAGATGACACTCATCTGCCATTGCACAACAGACAGATTATCCCATTTCTCTATGAGTTGATTTGCAGCCCATTAGTTTCATTAGGGACTTTTTAGGATATTGAAGTCATGGGAACTGGACATGGGACACAGATCATCTTTCAGAATATGGAAGTGCAAAATACTATCATGACAAAAGAACATCCCCCAGCTTCTTCTCTCCTCTTAAGAGCAACATAAAAACTAATTCCATTATTAGGTTCAAAAAAGGCAGTAATAGAGCAGCTATAAATCTATAGGCATTACCTTATTGTTTAAGAAGGTAGCAACTTTTTGATCTCTCATTTGTGATTTCTGAGGAGGATTCATTTAAAGAACTAACATTTCTATAGTAACACTTCTATGGCCATAATAACTCTAGAGAGAATGACAGCTGACAGAAATCTATTTTGACATGATGGTTTTTCAATCATAGCATTGGAAGAAATAGCCCCAAAAAAACAAACAAATGTAAACAAACAAAAAATCAAAAAACCAAAAATATTAGCATCCACAGATGCTAAAAATTCTAAGGAACTCTATTTTTTTTTTGAATTACTGACATAAGATATATAAGCTAAAACTGACAAATATCTTAAACCTCAATTTCAATGCACAGATTGGGCATTAGACTAATATTCTATTTGCATACATTTAGTCCAGGTTGTTTTAAATAAAAATGTGCAAATGCAGATAAAATTCAACATAAATGAAATTATATTATAAGACAAACCCTTGTCATGATATAGTTGTGCAGGCTGTTAACAAAATGCATAAGCTTCACTCTTAAGAGGAACATGCGATGTATTTGTTGTTTTATACATTCCGTTTGTGATCCAAATGGAGGAAGTGTTCCCTGCTCTAATAAATTTCCTTCCTTAACCTGGGGGTTTTCTGCAGCACAGAGTAGCTCTAAAAAAGAAAAGGAAGATGTATTAAAATGCAGAGTATATGAAAAATATAGGTAAAACTTATATTACTCAAGTAATACGAAACTAGTTATTTCTTATTATTCTGCACAGAAAAATTTATCTTAACTCAGATGAGTTATTAAAATACATTAATTTTACACTGAAATATTTGACTATGTATATATATATACGCACACAATGCAATTTAAGAAATACTTGAATAGGAAATGCAAAATAAGTGCGTGTGAATAATATGTGAACAGATTAAAAAGCTTACATTAAAATTACTACTTAGTTCATTTTTTTAGGATTTAAAGAGCTCATATTGATTATATATGGAAGAAGAGTAGAAGTATCAAACCAGTGAACTGAGATATTAAGAGATCTATTTATAGAATCCCTACATATTTGAATTGTGATTTAAAGTGTATATTCCGAACAATGTATCTTAATGTTTTGATCCCAATTGAAGCATATTTTAAACCGTTTTCTTAATTTGTTTTCAAAATATTACTGTAAAATCAGGACAACAAACATTGTTGCTACCTTTATAATTGCTCTATATACTATTTGCTGTAGAAATCAGCAGACATATGTACCTTTAAACTACAAACCAAGTTTTTATAACATCTGTCATTCAAGCAGTTTCTTACCATCAAATCGTAAAACATCTAGGCTGTACTTGGCCCACTTTATCTGTAGTAAGAGCAGAAAAACTTGATTGTAAATTTTTTGGCACTCTAAGCTTATAACTATGTCCACAGGCCAAGGGACCTAAGAAAGAGAGAAGACCATCAGGGCAGAAAAGGGAAGCAACTTTAATAAAACATTTCAATTCTAATCAAAAAATAACATAATGACTTGGGAATGATGCTCTACCTTATAACTCAATGTCAGACCATCTAAGGTGTGGACAGGAAGCTTCTTCTTCGCTGTATCGACATTTTCAAATGATATGGACAACCTGTGTAAAGAAGCAAATGCTTTTATTGATGATAATCTGTTTTAAATTAGTGGTTATCTTCCTTAAAGATTTTTAATTTTTCATTGTGAAATATCAACTGGTAGAGGAAGGTAGAAAAGATGAAAGAGGTTTTGAACCACTGTCAAACGGATGTAATGAATATGCAAGAATTAGTACTGCACTCTGCAAGTTTATTAATAGAGCTAACTATGAAGGAAACAGCAACTGTACTGTATTTTGAAGAATTTCACAATTTACCTTGAACTATCCTCTGGATAGCGCTGCCCAACTGCTTCTTGAAGTTGAACATTTAAGAAAGCAACATTCTGCCAAATTTCTTTTTCTCTAATTTTGTCAAAAATGGATGTATAGAAATCATACATGGTATCCCCAGCTTCAAGTAAGAAAAAGTTTCTCATGGCTTGCAAGTATTCTACCAGCCTAAATGGGAAACAATTATAGACATTTCCTCAATCTTCATGACACAACTGAATCAAATACAACTTTTATAAAAACAAAACCCTTAAAGAAGACTCTTCATTTCAATAACTCAAAACTGAACACACTAGAAAAAGTCTATCCTGAATTTTTTTTTAATCCTTCAGAAAGCCTACAAATACATTCAGATAAAAAAAAAAAATCAGTCCATGGTTTGCTGTAAGTCTGAGCACCCCCACTAACTTCAACAGAACTATTTGGGGTGGGGGCGGGGAGGGAGGCAGTTCAGACATCTTCTGGGTTGGGTAATTCATAAAATTGTTTATAAGTGAGAAAGCTTGTCCCTCTCCGCACAGAACTTGGGAACAGCAACGCAACTGCAACACAACTGTCCTGTATAAGGAAAGATTTTAATATTACGCCCCCCAAAAACAATATTGATTCTTTCTCTGATAAAGTAGGAGGAAAGCTACCTCATCTGTCACCAGAATCATGAATAGAGATTATATTAAGTATGTGTATGGCATGGGAGAGTATGAGTACTTTAGGCAGATTAAAGTCATTGTAATTTTATGACAATCTAAAAAAACAAACGCCACGGGCTGTCTTACTCTGTGTAATACAAACATAACTCATAATACTGTTTTGTATATTGTACCTTTTATACTGTCATAATCAAATCTCATCTTAAATAATGCTAACTTCTTAAAATATCTCTAGCAGTTTCAAATGACAAGACTAATAAAAATAGTGTCCAAAAAATTCTCTATTGGACATCAACTGTAAACAGATTGGACATCAACTTTACTCCTGATTTAACCTCGACAAGGTTCACAGGATTATTTTATGCTATTTTTCCCTTTTTCTTCAATGTTTTTGCCTTTGTTTATCAAGTTGGAGTAGAAGCACAACACTGTTCAAAGCTCCTTAATAAAATCTTTAAAAGAAAATTCCTGCTCTTGTTATATGGCATAGCTTTGGCAATTATTATCTTTTCAAGGAAAACCACAATTTACTTCTTACCTATAATCCTTCTTTAAGGTTTGCATTAGATTACCACAGCATTCCAAGTATTGCTTGTCAATGTGAGGATAAAGGCAAGATCTTAATGTTAGTTCAAAAGTCTGGCAAGTCACTGATTCTGAGGATCTATCCACACAAACATCCCCACCAGTAAACTTCTCATGAAAGTCACTTTGTTCCAAATACAACCTTCAAAATAATACACATTAGTTAGTGAAGAAGGCATTTAATACACAGAACACATTAAAAAAAAAGTCATACCTTCCAAGCTTTTAATCAAACCTCTTCTGCTCTCAAAATATGTTGCAAAAGTATTAAGACGTTTCATTACTATAGCACTCTCCATTCCTTACTTGTTAGTTTCATAACATAATAAGGCTACTAAGTGATCATTCACACTGCTTTTATATGACCAAGTTTAAGAATATTGAAGAGGATGACATCCTGTAATCACCCAGTTGCCCCAGGAATAATTCAGAAAAATAATAACAAGCTCAAACACTATGTAGCTTGATAATAAATCCTTTACCATAACATCTTTTAAAAATATATAGTGCATCAATAAAACTGGTGAACTGAAATTCTCAGGACAGGAAAAAATAAAGCTAAAAGGGCAAAAAAGCAGAGTTTGAGACACCTCAAATATGAATTCACATATTACCTCTAATATTGTACCTTGGGAAGACACTTCATGTGGATGTACCATAGTTGGTGCACTCTATTTTGTCACAGAAAGGATGAAATTATTACAACTTGGAAAAAGTTACTCAGTTTAATCTGTTCTATGAGGAAGTCCATTTTTAAAAAAATAATTTCAGAGCAGGTACTGCTTCAAAAGACTGAGTTTGTCATTTTATCAATCATGCTATCAGCTTTAATTAAAGAATAGTCTCAACCAACAAGTGAAATAGTCTTATCCTCCACTGATTCCGTTTTTTGGTAACAAAAGGTGCCTTTAGACCTATCTTATGAAAAAAAAATCTGACTCTAATCATGTAGATTTTGACCTTTTCAATAACAGCTTTCAACTGAATTGTAAACCAAAAGACACTATTAGATCAAGAACAGTTTTGAGAAAGCGAATAGACTTAAAACCCAAATTCAGAAAAAAAAAACAGGAAAAAAAAGTGGCTGTTATTTAATACTTAGTAAGATTTTTAAGAGTTACGGCCTTTCCTACTAATTCTTAATACATTTATTACCTCAAAAACTCTCTTTCTTCATTATGAATGAAGAATCTTTACGCAATTAACGTGAATTCTGGAAGGTTTTCTTCAGTTGTCCTATAATTAATATGCTTGGTATAAATTAAAGATATTTTATACAGTACCAAGCAAGCACATTAAAAAGTCTGAATTTTACAATAGCATTCACTGTTAAAATACATTTTATTTGATCAAAACCTATTATGATAAAGACTATTCTATTTTCTACACTAAATGATGCTACCAGCAGGATTTCACAAAAGCTTATTTACTTTAACTTAAAAAAAATAGCATAAGGGTAGTGTTTACTCAGGTTTTTGTCACTTGTTATCAATGCTGTTCTTTATTCTGGGCTTAATTGTGTTAAGCAACAGCAACTAAAATTCAGTTTACAAATGCCAGCAAGCGGAATATGGCTTTCCACAACACAGCAGTAAGAGCAGTGATCTAGTGGTTAATTCATTTACCTGGCAAAATTAATAGCCAGCAGTGGATCATGGACATCATCCAGTTCCAAGTGCCTTTCCGCTATGGACTGCATCTTTATTAGGCTCTGCTTTGTAGCCTGTTGTTCTGTAATAATATCTGGAGCAGATTCTTCCCCATGCCGCAGGCGAGACTGCACGGCTTCCAAGAACAGCGTATACAAACTCTTTCGCTCAGCGTCTGAATTGGGCAAGACGTTTCACAGTAAGATTCGTTCCAAGAAAAAGCAAAGGTTGAACTATAGGAGTAAGAACTTTACAGTCTAACAGCTACCTGATATGTTTCAACCAACATTATTAGGCCACTATTTGGCAAACTAATTAAGTGTGTAAGTGGAGCTCTGCTACAGCAGTATAGGGAGCCCGGTATTTAAGAACAAGCATATATTCAAATGCATTACTGAACATTGTCTGAAATATGAAGTATTTCAGAAGATGTTAGAGATTTCCTCCTTCCAATTGCAAAGGCAATTATTTACACCTGAAACAGCCCTGTACTTTTTACTAGAACAGGTAATATTCTCAAACCAAACGGAGAAACAAGCCCAGAGCATTTCCAAAATAATTCATACTACGCTACTTGTAAACATAACAAAAACAGCAAAAACAAAAAAGTCTCCTATGAAAAGAGAGAAAATAATAATGACTGTTCTATGTTTTACTACTGCTTCAGAAAAATACCCTAAATATGCATTCTTATAAAGTATGTCAAGATTTTTCATCTAAACATCAATAAGCTTTCTTTAGAAGCTCTAGAGCTGTCTCAAAATTATTCAACCACTTACTACTGGAAAATACCTATTCGTTAAAACCAAGAAGTATTATGTCTGGAACATATAAACTGCTTCTGCTTGTCTCATAGCAAATGGAAAATGTCTTGCAAGCCTAATAAAACAGATCAGGCTAATAAAAACTGAAGTGAATATTCGATCTTTATTCACTTTTTTTGTGTTGGAAAAGTCATTTATTTGTGTTGGAAAAGTAATTGCTTTCAATCAAGTGTGAGGTTTCAAACCACATTTTTGAAGTGTAGCTAGTATATTATTTTATGCATTAATGTTTTCAGAATATGTCTGTACTGCTAGGCACACTCAGGACCGGTACTAAACAAACTGGCATCTCACCTCTGGATGCGGTTTGCTGAGGAGAACCATCTTTGCATTGTAGGTTCTTCAACAACTGCATGGATTTTCCAGCCATGATGATTTGCTTTAGAACTGGCTTCAGGAAAGAGACCATAGTGTGTTGCCTGCTTGAAGGGGCCTGATCACTGCCAGAGCTGGCACTAGCATTGTCACTCATCTTCTCTTCATTCTCTGTCTTTTCTGACACACTATATAATGTGTAGGTCGCATACCAAAAATCTCTGTGATTAACTGGGACATTTTTGTTTCTACAAAGAAATAAGAAAGCTGTTAAATATTTTTTTTGAAAGATGAATCTTCCTTACTAGATGATACAAATCATGTTTTTTTTTTCTGCACTTTGCCTTTCATTACACTAATAAAAAGCACTTTCAAAATTATATAAAATAAGCTCATACACCTATCAAACTATCTAGGCATCTCCAGAATGGTGGAAAGTTTTAGCAGGATAAAGAAATCAGTTCATAGTAGATAAAGACAATTTCATACCCAAGCAAGACAAGGACAACTGTACTACTAACACTGACTTTATGCAAGAAGTTAATTATACATAGATCTGTTCATCCTTAGTAACAAAATGATTAGTGTGATTGTCAAATTAATTCAGATGTATTTAGTAAATGAAAACTACAATAAAAATGCTACTAGCAAAGCAGAATAATTCTATATTAAGTGAAAATTAAATTCTTAATCCATACTCTTTTGTGCTGTTTATATCATACATAGTTCTAACTTTGAAGTCATGTAAAAATAACATAAAATAGATAATTAAAATTAAGCTCGATTATAAATATAAGCTGAAATCTCACCTGTTAGCAGTACTGAAAACAACTATAGAACCAAGGAAAGAAAGATCAAGTAGGGTACAAGAAGGATGGTAAAATCTCAGTAAGGATTTTTTTTTTTTACAGTCGTATTACAGAGATTTTCTTACTATCTGCTCACTTTTACATGTCTTACAAATGTACATTCAATTAAGTATTGTAGACAGAGGGGGAAAAAAAATCTTCATTTGTAATGATGAGACAAAAATTAATAGTTTTATATTCGCTTTCCATTTCTAACTATCAAAAAAGCTAGCAATAAAGTATAAGATATAAGAAAAGAAATTAATAGACAAAGAATATTTAGGAAGTGTGTATGTAATCAAGACATTTTATTAGCTTGCACTGGAAGTCTAAATCAGTATTTAAACTCTAAATAACATTTATATTAACTACAGATTAGTAAAATAAGTGAAAAGTAAATTTTACATTTTTTCCAAGAATTTTTTTTTTTTTAGTAAGTAATAGCTTTAAAAAAAAGTTAGTAGAATTACCAATTCTACATTATAGGTAAGAAAGTTAAAAATAATTTATTTCTAATCAAAAAAAGTAATAATCAATTGGACTAAGCAATGCAATTTCCCTAGCAGGCTGAGACAAGTCCTAAGAGAATGATTAATAAATCTACCTAAATAAAATAACCAACATGAAGCATTACTTTCCTTGCCACTATTTTCTTCCTGGGTTCTGCAACAACTGTTACGCTCTCATTTGCATTGCATTTTGTTTGTCCAGTATCACTGTCCCTACCTCTGAATGATAAATTCCTTTGCAGGATCAAATAAATTACCATGGACTATCCACTCATCCACTGTCTGTAAATATGGCCTCACAGTTTCAACCCAAAGGGAGAACAGAAGGGATACCTGGAAAAAAAATATTGGATGATTAGGCAAAGCCTAATCTGTTAATTGTCCAAAAATAATACGATGTACTAACTCTACTTAAGGATTTTTTAAAAGATAAAACACTGAACTAAAAAAAAAAAAAAACTACAGCACACACTGTGCATGCTTGCCTTTATTACATATTTCGTTGCCATCACTCCCAAATAGCAACATTCTTTTTTCTCCCACTCTTACAGCTCTTAAGCAGAAACTGTTAGTCATAGAACATTCTGTGGTTTCATAACATGGAAAACTTAAAAACAGGTAGACAAATTTTTACTAGTATAATATCCAGTAAGTGTAAAAAAGTACTGTAAATGTCAGCTTTATTCAAATTATACACCACGCCCAGGAGAGTTACCTGACAGCTCTCTCTTTTGTAACAGCCTTCTTGCCTCTTGATTCCCCATAAATGCTCACTGCCTCAATCCTCAACCTCAGTGCAACCTCCCTGCAAATCTGATTTTATCCAGGTTAAGTGAAGGTGCAAATAACTCATGTCAAAATACAAAAGCTCACTTGGGGCAATCAAATCTTTTCTCAATCTTCGATCGACTAGCTGAAGGCTAGTGTACTCAGTCACCATATCACAGAGAAATGTTACTTATCAAGCATTCAGGTGTGTGTTCTATTAAACAAGGTTTAATTCCCCCTACCGTTTGCTCGGATGCTTCTCCCACACTGTCGTATTCAAGAATAGCTTTGTAGAGAGTATTAAGCAAATGAGATGCTCGTACAACATTTCTAGTGTCAGGGGGCACTTCTGCTACTCCTGTGCTGAAGACTTTATGAAGTACCTTCAGCTGTGCCAGTCGGGGAGACAACTTATCTATTACTATTGAAAGTGTGACTGTTTGATCTGGAAGAAAAAAGAAAATTAGAGTGTATATGTATATAAAGATAACATCTAAAAGAAAACAAAACTTTGGCAATATTATTCATGATTTTTTAAGATGTAGCATAGCATCTTTCACAGTTTTAGAATTTGTGTAATGCCTTGCACGCTTTCCTTGTAAGAATTCACATACCTTCCTCTTACAAAATTATGCTTGCACTGTACCTTTGTTGATTATGCATTTTTCAATTTCAGTAAGTTCTTCTTTAAAGCTAATGAAATATTTGTACAAGGCCCACATAAAAGCTTGGTACGTTCTGAATGGGGCTTCAGTAGTTTTCTTTGGGGTAGAAGCAGCTCCATGCATTAGATTTTCCGAACCGTGTCCCATCACTTCATCAATAAACTTCTGTAGTCTAAACACAACTTGACCATATGCTGCGATTTGCTCCAAAACAGATCTTAGGCAATTCTAGGGGAAAAAAAATATATAGCAAAGAAGTTTATTTTGTAAAACCTAAAAATAAAAACGACAAAATATTTTTATTTTCTTTGAACTTAAATATAATAAAATTTAGCTATGTCCATCACTTAATTAGATTCTCAAATACAGGAACATCCCATTTGACTTTATTAAATCAAATGTGCTTTGATTAACTTAAGAACAACCACAGAAATAGCTTTTTCACAAGAAGTTAAATGTCCTATTTGCAAAAAAAAAAAAAAATCCATTTGATGACACATACATTTGGCTGAGAGTCACCAAACAACTCACATGTGTTAAATGAGTTACAATAATATCATTCCGCACAGTCACTTTTCCATCATTGAGTTGAAATATGAAAAGTTTTTTCACTCCTGACAGTAACCTGGAATAGAAACAAGTAATCCATTTTTTTTTCTTTTAATGGACTCTTAATAATTATATAATTAATAGAAAAATTAGCTCTTGCTTGCTTAAACGTGTATTTTCTTCAAACAAGAAACAAAGAACTATGATACTATTGCTACTGTAACCTGGTGCTAAAACAAGAACAATAAAACACGGACAGCCTACAAATATCCCCCTAAAATTCCCCTCCAGTTGAGATAGTTTCAAAATAAAGGATTTTTCAAAACTTCTTTTCAAAATTGCACACTTGTGAGAAATCCACAGGGGCAAGATAAGAACAAATCGGTTGGGCCTGAAGAATCAATACAGGCAAGACGCAGCAAGCTATACTTTTCTTTGTGAACTTGAACAATTAAATACACATTAACAGCATCTTTATTAATCAGCAACAGTCCAACTTAAAGAAAGCTCAGTAATAAGCAGTTCCTCAAATACGACTTCAATGATAAATCTCTTCTCTATTATACGCTTGAGTGAGAATTCTAAAATAAAAGTTAAGATAAAAGCTTTTTTTTTTTTTCTTTTTTTTTGCGTTTCTGCTTACCAAAGAGTTTCCCGTATAACCTGAGTTTCGGTGACTAGCGTTCGCTCTTCTGGCACATAGAGAGGATTACTGGTATACAAGTGGTGGTCCCTTAGAAAAGGGAAAGGGAAACAACTTAATGCTTATAACCACAGCTGATTGTATGCATCTTAAGGCTCAGTTTTCCTCTACTTATACTATGGCAGTGCCAATGAATCACAGGGATATTTGAAAAATACAAACAAGAGCAGATGTTTGTTTTCGTATTGCTAAGGAAAAGTGCATGGAAAAAGCATTCAAATTTTCTTCACACACAGCTTGACAGCAGTTTAGTAGCAACTATTGAAGTATTGAGGATTTTTTTTTAATTTCTGTGAGAAGCTAAGTCATGCTTTCCATTCAGAATATTAGGCAAATTCCTATTTTATTTTTGTTTAATATCAGAATCCAAAAAGTTTGCCCATGAAATGGAAATGCTTCCTCATGATGGCATGTTGCTTCATTCTTTGTAAATCTTTCACCATATTTTATCATATTTTAGCAAAATAAACAGCAATTACTTATTACAAATTACATATTACTTCATATGTAGTATTTTGACTTAGCTATTACCACTGATGATATTGACATTTACCACATTTAAAATTCAAACAATCCAAATTAAGTACTACTGGTTATACAATACATCTGCTAGCTAACTTGGAAGTGACAACAGAACAGTATAGCTTTATTTGCTATTGATTTTCTAATGTTTCTGTAAATTTTGGTTCATAATCAGCTATGTAACTTGTCTTACTCTAGAACAGATTTACTCCTTCATTAAGGAATGCAATAAATTAAGGAAGCAAATACAAATTTAAAGGACTGTATTAGTACAATACTGATGCATCAGAATTTTCAAAGGGGGAGATAGTGGATTTTTTTTTAATTAAACTTCCTTCTCATTTTCCTTCCAGAAACACAGAGGATTGCAATTAAATATTTTTGTATGTACTTTCCCCCCAATAAATTTGTGTTTAATTCTAACTTCATAGGGAAAACACCAACATGAAAAAAAAAGTTAATTTTAGGAAATTCTTTATTTTCAGATACCATGTAAGTAGTATGACTACTTACATTCCAACTACGTTAGTTCTGCAGAGATGCTAAGAAGGGTTATCCTAAGCAAAATTCCCCACTGAAAAAGATGTGCTCCTTCTCCCTAACATACTAAAAACTATTTTTAAAAGCAGCTATAAGAGAATCAAGTCTTGCTTCCTAATCTTTTTGTATCCACTTAACTCTAAATTCTGTTTTTACTAATCATTAATAACTGTAATAGTTTCATAACACAGTATTAAAAACAGCCAATAAGGTCACTATTTAGCATTATATGATGCTGATAAAAATGCAGCTGAGTGATCTTGCTTTCTTACCAGACTGCAGCCAGGTTGGAATGCAGGTGCAAACTATGGGAAAAGCGAGGAGCTCTTCCTGTCCAGTACTGGGGAACTACATGTTGCTCCAGCCAACTGCGGGCATCAGGTTCACCAACTGTGAAAGCATGACAGCAACTGAGGTATTTTTATTTATTTGGGATATGCTTATAAAATACAGGAAGCAGTTATTAATGAGCCTATCCACTCAGCTGCAGACGCACAGGTCTTTCAAATACATCAGGATTTACAACTACTTACACTTTATTGCACTCACAAGTATGATAACATCACAAACAAATTCATGCATATATAAATGCCTCATCTCCTAAAGGTTCTCTAAGTCCTAAAAAATAAACTTTCAATTCTTTCTCTGTGAATATGCCTCTGTTTCAGGCACTTCTCAAACAACTAAATTGCCAAATATCACTACCTTTATTAGCGTGTCACTTCCTACTATGAACTCAATCCATTAACTAAAGTGTTTTTCTTTAACTATGATTACTGAGAAAACATTACTTCATTCCAGTTAGATAGCTTCTTGTATCATATATCTATAGCATGCTGTCTTCTTATACAAGGCATCTTGTGCCCTATACTATTTTATGCAAAAACATACAGGTGTCTGAATCTATTCAGAAGTAAGCCATTAGTATTTTAATTATATAAAAGCATTTTTTTCAAAAACATTTCATATATAGAACTTGTTCAATTGTTTCTCATCACTCAGTTTCATTTCAGCATTCTGATATTTACTGGTAAAGAGATCCATACAACTATGCTACATTTACTGAATAGACTTTTATTCCTGTCCTGAAATATCCATGCACGCTTTCACCACGGAAGTTTGTTTCCAGAAATAAACAGAAGTCTTCTCCACTTACATCAACAGAAATCACATCAAGCCCTCTGTTCTACTGCTTTCTTACTGCTAAAATTTAAACAAGCAGTAATGAACAGTAATGCACATCTTTAAACTGTAACTATAGGTCTAAGAACCTGCTACCTCACTAAAAACAAACAAACAAAAAAATCAGCATTAAATTGCTAAAGTTTGAGCATATATGATTACATTAAAAATGACAGCTCTTTCAGACTTTTAGGAGAAAATTCTAACCTTTCCAGGAAACATTAGGTACTGTTTTCTTGTTTGGATCATGGTCTTCCAAAGGTGTCCTGTCCACTTGGATACCTGAGTCCTCTCTGCTCAAAGGCTGAGTGTCCTCCTCTTCGTCACTTTCTTCAGACCAATCCTACGATAATAAAAACGAGTATGACTCAATGCAACATAACAGATCTATAATCAGTTTGTGCTGTCTGAGAAGTTGAGAGTTTCTTCCACTGTAAAGTCAATTCAAAAATTTAAGACTAACATTACTGTCTACCAAGAACTTAATTGACTTAAGTCAAATAAAACACTAAAATTGAAAGCTTTTGGAGCAAGAGCATTTCTGTTTGCCTGTAATGGTTCTAGTGCAATTTTATTTAGGTGCAGAATAAAGTTCAAGCTACTGATTTTTTAAAATATATATCGAAAGGACATATTCAAATCATATATGAAGTTATAATGATATCAGTGTGCTGTTCAAAGTTTTCAATACCATTTCTCCCGAGTTTCAAAAATATAAACTCCACTGAGCTTTCACTACTCCTTACATATTGCTATACGATAACTTTTCACTATATTATACGTACATACATATTACTTACATATTATATAACAAAAAACACTGCTCAACGTATTTGTTTTGCAAAGTTCATAGTCATATATTAGGATGATCTGGGAAATCTACATACATTCTATTAACTTTAGCGGATATGGTGAAATGTTACTTTGAAATCTGCTGTATTTTAAATCTCCTTTTCCCAATAGGCATCATAAACTGATACTAAAAAACTGCTATATCCTTTTAGTCCGAAGACGACAATCAGTAATCTTATAATTCAGCTATGAAACAGGAGAGAGGTTAGAACAGCCAATGAAAAACATTCTCCTCCAAGCCTTTTAAGTGAATTAGATCTTGGGAGTGGAAAAGCGTTCAAATGAGAGAATTGGAAATGACCACAGGAAGTTCTGATTAGGAGCAGGAAGCCAGCAAGAGAAATGAGAAGTCAAATTAAAACATGAAGAACAAAAGCATTTTCTCTTAATATTATTCCCAATTAGGTCTCTCTGTATTTCATGCTATTAAGTATAGAAGCAAGCAATGTATTAGGGAATTAGACAGTACAGAAAGCAGGGGAACTTAGCCAGGTCTCTAACATGCTTTGAACCAGTGTTTATGGCATTACTTACTGGTGAATCTACGCCAGGGCCAAAGTAAACTTCTTCTCCTTCCATCAAATACTTTCCCCAATCAAATTCTTCATCCTTTTCTAAGAGGAGTATAAATACAAAAAAAGGCTCATTTAACTCTGATTTCTTTTTCCTCTAAAGGCATTTTCAAAGGTAAAAATATCTTGGTATTCCACGTCTTTACAAAAAGAGGCATTCTCTTCCACTTAAGATCATGCCACAAGAAAATTATACACTCTGCATGTGAAATGTACATGGTAACTGCATATTCTTTATCATTTTTCACTTTTGTTGCTTACACACTCAAAATATACAATGTGGTGATCCTTCAGCATACCAATCCGTATTATGCTATATAATCCTAGGCTTCAATACAGGAAAAAAAAACATGCAAGGATGCAACATACTTATTATAACTAGTCCCACTTAGCTCAGTAGAAACATTCTAAACATATAATTAACATATGCATAAGGATCCGGGACTGTAAACAAAACAAAGCAAGAATTGTCTTATTCTTCAGAAAAGACACCACACATCCATGATGCTATGTGTATTACTTCAAAATGGCAAGCAAACTTACAATAAATTAGATCTTAAACATGAAGTTTACTCAACTGTAATTAGTGGTGTTTGAGATAACCTCTTCATATTCACATTCCTGGAATGGGCTGAAAGTGCATTCAAAACACCGCCGAGGGAATGTGCAGAGATCACTCAAAAAGGAATCTTAAGATGCAAGATTTTCTTTAGGTTAGTCTGAAATATTCTTCTTTCAGTCTATGATACAACACCACAAACAAACTGGGGATGGCACCCACTCAAACTTAAGCATAAGCCAAGATGACAGGCACTGAGTGAAACAATCCTGCTTTCTAAATTAGGGCAAGTGGGATCTCTGGAAGCCTGCAAAGGTATTGAGCTGTCCTCAACTTCATAGGGAACAGCAATTTACATTACTGTTTCAGTAAACCCCCTACTGAGATGCAAGATAGTTGCTGAGAATAGAAAACATTTGTCTTTGAGCCTCTAAGTGCTGCTGTACAGGAGAAGAGTTTTAGTAACTGATAGAAGTACAAATAAAAAATCATTATCCAGAAACTGTGCTGGACAAAAAACTTCATTAGCTACTGGAAGTACGGAAGACTTAAAGGGTGTTTTTTAGTGTATAAATCATACAGCAGAATCAATAAAGCACCCTGAAGTGAAGGTGATAATAAAACAGAGAGTAAAAATGCCTTTCTTATCAGATTGTGTTAACTGATTGTATCTGCTATTAGTAACACACAAATCTTACAAGCTTACCCGCTTCTTTGTCTCTTGGTTTTTCCACATAGTTGGTGTTGGATGGAGAATCAGATAAACACAACAGAAGAGACAGTATGGAATAGTGTGTATCTGTCTTTAAAACACGTAATAAAAGCAAGTTAGTAAGTGGATTAAAATATTTTAGCTAGGAACAGATGAAGCCTGTTATGTTTAGGAATGTTCAGCATTACCTCCCATTCTTCTGTCTCAAACTAGGAAAACAAAATCTGCACTGCTGGATCAGATGCTATCAGTTTCATTAGGTCTGCTCACTAGCCAATCAATATCAAATACTTCAAAATCAGCCATAGCATAAACTGCCTCTTTCTGAGCTGATAATAAGAACCCAGAAATACAGCAGAGGTTAAAAAAAAAAGTCACCACAGGACAAGGGATAAAGACGCATTTTTAACTCTGATACTGCACTAATGCAGTTGTGAAACAGAAGCCTTCAGTCTGCCTACAACACTGTTACCAAGACTGGCATGCTGCAAAGATTTGTGTTATGATCTGTTTCATAGTATTTGCTGAGCACCACCACTTATCGAAGTAGCCTCTTTCTTCAGCCTGGTTCTGAGTTTCCACAGCATGCAGTTCACCAAGCATGTATTTTTCAATATAATGTTCGTACTTAATACTATTACAACAGTTTCTCAACACCAGCAGGTTTCGACAGAAACAAACATGTGAGCTAAAGTTTCACTTACAGTCATAAAACTCAGATACTGAGTCTTTTCAAGTTACATACCATTGCTAACACCTAAATGTAGCTTGATACTCCAAACGTGAAGGACCACACAACTATACTGCAGTTGCATTTTCAATTGCACGGTCAATTCTTACGATATTTGCAACATTCAAGTTCTTAAAGTGTCCCCTTGGGGGTTTTGGGAGGGTCTATTTTACTTAACTCTTAAAACAGTCACATCTAGGACTATGCATTCATAAGTCTCCACAACACCGTATAACATAAGAAGCACAAACCATTGAGGGTTCTTGGGTTTCTCACAATGAATTAAAGGAAAACTTGAGAGGCAAGCATCAGTTCAGTATGAAGTAGTAGAATCAGGCTAAACTTAGAACAAACAGCTCTGTTAAAGAATGACATTATCACCAGTCAAATCATAATTCACAACAGCAGGAACTTTAAGTTTCCAAAGGTTAAATTAAATACGACACTGCCATACTGGAACCAGAGTGTCCAAGTGAGTCAACCTTTGCTGTTTCCCTCCATCCAATGCCCTAAATTGATTTTTAATGCAGAAAGCATCCATGATAAAACATATGCTGTAGTTTCATTATTTGGACTATGTTTAAGAGTGCTCCATTTGGAAATATCATGAAACTAAAATGCCCACCTGATGTAGGGTTAAAAAAAAAAAAAACTTCAGCTCAGCTAGCCAGTGTTTCAAACAGAGAATCTAGTTATAGTATTTGTACAGTGTTGACCATAAAATATCTCTGCAAAGAGAAGATGTAATTTAAGTCATGAAATAGTGCTTGCTGAAACCCTGAAAAGACCAGAAGCACATCTCTAAAAGAAATGGAGAAACTACAGAATACAACCTTGAGGATCCACATAAACAACAACTGCAAACCCCAGGGTAAAATCATCTATCATTTCCAATACAATATCACTACAGTAAGTCCCCATCATCACAACAGACATAAGAGTGCTGGAAAAAGGAACTACCAGAAAAAAAAAAAGAACGAAAAAAAAAGCCCAACACACATACCTTTGTTTCTTCAACACCTGGAAGTGGTGAGTTCAGAAATTTTTGCGTCAATCTTTTCCAGCTTGCAGCTTTTCCCAGGTCAGAATGAACAACCAATTTTTCATGTATTCTAATAAGAAGATTTTTTTTGAGCACTTGTTCATGCAACACACTAACAACATTATTAAGCCATTAACATAAAACTTACCCATCTATTGTCCTCTCTACCTTGTGACTGTTCACATCAAGAAACCGGTGAAACCTGTGAGAAATCTGCATTAGAAATGTTTGAAAAATAAAACTTAAGTGAGGAAAAAAACAAAGCTGGCTTACAAATAAGATGACAACATATCAGTAATATGTTTTCTGCTTAATAACGCATGATTAATTCAGCAAAATCATTAAGCAGCAGCAAAATTTAATCTCCATGCCTCTTATCTTAAGGAGGACTAACTACAACAGACTTTAAAGATGGGAAAATGTAATTATACTCGATGCACAGTTTAAACTGAATGGAGAAATACCACTGTAGCAGCAAAGCAAGTAATTAAATTAACTCGTCAGTTCAGTCAAATGTGTGGAACTCAAAACTACGACTGTCAGATATTCCTGTTGAAGGAAGAAAAATTACATGGGACTTGCATCACAAGCACAGGGAAAATATCCACATGGAAAAGCCTCTAAACCTTAATGAAAAACCTTTATTAAAAGTTAAGGACAGTGACAGAAAGAAAAATGAAAGCCCGAGTAAAAGAGGGATGAACTGCAGAAAGTAGCATATGTAAGGGCAAAGTAAGAGCTGATGAAAGGTAAGTTAGGCTTTACAAAAGAAATGAGAGTAGGGCAAAGTTCTTCAGGTATACATAGAAGAAAACCTGGAAATGTGATAGAGCTTTTGCAATCCTTGCAGTTTGGATTACATCAAGATTAGAGATACTCGGTACGTAGCCCTGAAAGTCAGTTTAATATTTTGCCTCAGCTTCCAGCACCAATTGCACAGAACAAGGTGAAACAAATCATATAACCAAAAGATGGAAAACTGCAACGTTTGCACGGGAAGCATAAGCTAAGTTTAGCGGACTGAATTTAGAGAAGCAATCATCTCAGTGTCAAAGTAATGACCTAGAAAAGGAAATTGCAAGCCAAGTAGCAAAGACATTTAATAACACTACTGCAGGATAAAGACATACCTGCATTTAAGAAATAAGAAAACAACTTAGTTAACTAGAGACTGATTAATCTGACTTCAGCTGTGTGTAAGGCTTTGGAATAAATGTTGGAAAGAATAACTAAGAGATAAAAGTAAATGGAAAGCATGATAAAATGTAATATTAAGTAAGCTGCTCAGGCTAAGAATTTTATCTCTTCTGTTTCAGCACGTCATCTTACACAGGAAATCATGAGCTCAACTGGAAAATGGTGATAGGTAATAGAACACAAAAATAGACTAAAAGATGCCAAAAACCTGCATTAAAAGGGAAAACTAAGTCAAAGGAAAGTTATTAGCAAAATTGAACTGGTTGATACTTTAATTAATTACCCTAACACATTAAAAAAACATTTAATGCTTTAGACAAGTTCAGACAATCATCAGCAGAAGAGGACTAACATATCGCACTGAGAGAATTAGATGAATCTGAGAACTACAGTATAGAAATGTATTTAACTCTAGTAATGCAAACCACAAGTTTCACAAACTTGCAACTAAGGAGAAATTCTACTTTTATCTAAGGGGCTCAGCAGCTGGAAGCACCAGAGCCCCTCACTACAAGAAAGACACTGAGGCACTAGCGCATGTTCAAAGGGCAATGGAGCTAGTGGGGGCTGGAGCACAGACCTTATGAGGAGCAGCTGACGGAGCTGGGGCTATTTAGCCTGGAGAAGAGAAGAGAAGGTCAGGGGAGACCTTACTGCTCTCCACAGCTACCTGAAAGGAGACTGTAATAAGGCAATTGGTCTCTTCTCCAGAATAACTGCAGATAGGACAAGAGGAAATGATCTCAAGTTGCCCCAGGGGAGGTTCAGGTTAGACATTAGGAAGAATTTCTAAACTGAAAGAGTGGAGAAGCATTGGAACAAGCTGCCCAGGGAAGTGGTGGAGTGACTGTCCCCAGCAGCATTCAAGAAAGGTGTAGACGAGGCGCTTAGGGACATGGTTTAGCAGGCACAGTGCTGACAGGCTTACAGTTGGATCTGATAATCTTGAAGGTCTTTTCCAACCATTATGATTCTATTTCAGGCTGACATTCCTCGTTGCTTGGACAGCACTATCAGCATAAACACCTTCCTCTTCCCAATCCTCCCACCTCAAATTGCTTGCTGTAAACCCTGCTTTGCCCTCCTCCGTTTTCCGCCCAGCCACCGACCAACAGATATTTAGTTATCCCTTGGTGCAGAACAGCCTTATTGGAGCCAGTGAATAAGAGGCGCAGTCTGCAGAGCGCTACCCAATGCCGCAGTGCAGGAAATGCGACAGCGCCCCTAAGCACTGGACGCAAGCAGCGCAAGCAAGGCGAACGCTACTGATTTTAAACTGCGGGACACGTTATGCTGCTCCCCGGGGCGGGCACGGGGCGGCACCGGGCACAGGGCGGCGCCGGGCCCTGACCTGAAGTTGGACCAGGCGAAGTTGAGCGCCATCTGGAACCGGCCGCCGCCGGGCTCCGGCTCGTCCCGCTCGTCCTCATCGAGGCCGGTGACCCGGCGGACCAGCGCACGCACGTCGCGCTCCTGCTCCCGCTCGAACCGGCTCCGCGGCCCCGGCGAGAGCGGCGACGCCGCCATAGCGCAACCCGGGCG